CATTGGGGGGGGGGAAGGGGAGGGGACTGTGACCAGGCTGCCTGGCTTGGAGTAGGACTCCCAGCCCAGGGTAGGGGGTGCCACAGGCCTCCTCTTCTCCTTCCTCCAGCCCGTACCAGGGCTGGACTCACTCCACTGATGCCTGCATGAGCCAGAGGCCACTGTGCTCTGACCCAAGTGGGACAGGAACAGCTGGGGGCCCCCTCCAGCAGGGCTGAGGTGGAGCCAGGGGCTATGGGTCAGGAGTGAGAGGCACTGGCAGGACCAGGGAGCTGTGGCTTGGGAACAAGGGGTACCAGCAGGGCCAGGGGACTGGGTCAGGCATGCCAAATACTGGCAGGGCCAGGGAGCTGTGGGTCAGGACTGGCCACTGATCTTTACAAATACATCCTGGAACAAAAAAAGTTGAAAACCACTAGCATAGGAAACAAAGTGGTGTTTAACACGGCAAATTCAACCCCAAGTTGTGAGGTCATACCACAAACCCTCCATGGCCACTGTAAATCAGTCTAGGCATTTATAGATGTGTTGCAGGGGGGAAGGGCTTTAATTAGTGCAGCTCTGAACTAATTAAAGCGCCCAGAGCATCGTGTATGTCAGCATCCCCACACTGAAAAATGGTGGTGGGGCACTTTGAACTAAAGCTCATTGAAATGAGGTTTAAGTTAAAGCACCCTGCTGCCGTTTTCATGATGCTGGAGTGTGGTAAATGCCATACTCCAGCAGACTTGATAATTGAGTCTGCTCCAACGTACTGTAATTACAGCTCGTCAGAGCAGCCTCCCTGCATGTGTATAGGAGCCCTCTGAGTTAGACTACTAGCTAGGTGTGTGCGAAGCGGGCAGTATTTGATTCGCATACGGTGCAGTTCGGAGTACAGTGATTTGATTCGCTGATTCAGATCACTTGGCCGAATCTGAATCTGAAGATTCGATTCTGATTCGGAGAATCAGCAATTCGGCCATAGACACGGCTTTGTTTTTTCTACATACCTCGAGGTACGTAGAAAAAACAAAGCCGTGTCTGTGGCCAAATCATTAAATCTCTCAATTGATTTGGAGAGATTAATGGGTCTCCTGATTTCGATTTGGATTCAGCCACTAATTGGGCCAAATCTCCTCCAATTCGAATCAGCGACTGAAGCTTCTTCACACAGCCATACTAGCAGCTGCTTCCCTATGGCATTAGTTCGGACATTTTGGCAATGTGCTCTTAAGTGTAGGTTCTACTGTGGCCCATTCCAAGCCAAGCTATGTAAAGCTTCTGCACTGAAGGTCCAAGTGTTTACTCTGCTTTAGGTTGAATATTGCAATCTCTAATACTTAAATGTCATCTGCCATTTACAATCCCAGTGCATGGCTTATAAAAGAGTAATGCTTGTTTGTGCTGTCTTCATTTCAGGAGGAGAAGCGCCTCAGAGAAAAAGAAGAACAGAAGAAACTTTTGGAACAAAGAGCCCAATATGTGGAGAAGACTAAGAATATCTTGATGTTCACTGGAGAAGTAGAAGGATCAAAGGAGAAAAAACGTGGTGGTGGCAGGGTATAGGATGGAGTCTTTTTTTTCAATTTCAGATATGATAACTGAAAGTAACACAGGCTATCTGTACCAGTTGTTCAGTGATGCTGTACTGGAGGGCCATCCAAAATTCTTTTAGTTCAGTGGTGCTCAACCTTTTGACCCAATGGATCTAGAAATTTGGCAGCAGGGGAGCAGTGCCATGCCTTAAGTGAAAGGCCCACAGGCTGGATGACACAGTGCCTTGGGCTGGATCTGGCCCGCAGGTCAAAGTTTTAGCACCCCTGTTTTAGGTCATCACTGAACTGAAGGCATCTCTAGAATGGAAAGTAGCATTTAATACCTCTCCAAACAAGAGGGCAGTACAGAAAACAGAATGCTTTAGCTAACTGAAGTAGTAAAGTGTAATATTATATATTTTAATGCTCAATTTGAGATCAGTTTCTTAATGATAGGATAGGAATGTTTTGGGGATATTAAGGTATAAAACTAAAAATATGTACCTTCTCAGGTAAATGGTCACATCACCTTATAAATAATTGGGTATTGGTGGAGTTCTAATTTTTATTGCAGCGTTCCAAAAAAGGAGCAGGGGAATTTGATGAGTTTGTCAATGACGACAGCGATGAAGATCTGCCCGTGTCCAGAAAGAAAAAGAGGAGGAAGGGCAGTGGTAGTGAACAAGATGGTGAGGAGGAGGAGGGAGAGAGGAAGAAGAAAAAGAGGAGACGGTAAATAGTTTAGAACTTGTAACATTTACTGCAGTTCTGCAGTATCAGTTAAGTGTTTCCTACATAAAACCTCAACTTATATTTCTGAATAAAAGGCTTGAATTGCTCGTTTTCACGTAATCCACATAATGTAGGGTGAAATGATCAATCTGACACTGCATGAAACATTATGCAGGAGTTTTGTATAAATTTGGACGTTCCTTTTTTTTTTTTTAAGACCCCCAAAGACCGATGAAGGAAGTGATGATGAAGAAAATGAAAATGGCCCAAGACCTAAAAAACGACGACCACCCAGAGCAGAGAAGAAAAAGGCTGTAAGTTTTAATACGATGCCCTTATTGTTCTAATAAACATTTGGAAGATTAGTGTTGCTAAGTTCAGTATAGTGATACTGAGAAATATTGCCAATACTCCTTGCAAAAAAAATCTGTACTATGCTTTCCCGTTTTTGTCTTTTGATGAAGCAGTAGTAGCAACAGAGGCACTTATGTCAAATAGTTAACATTTTGTTTGGTTTTCTGTCTCTACTTGTTGGGGCAGCTTCTCGGGTATCTAAGTTATTTTTGTCTTCAGTTTACTATGCTAAGAAACATTATTTTTCCATTTCTTTGTACACAGCCCAAACCAGAACGTCTGCCTCCTTCAATGAAAGGAAAAATCAAATCAAAAGCCATAATTTCCTCTAGTGACGATTCTTCTGATGAGGATAAACTCAAAATTGCTGATGATGGGTATGAACCTCTATCAGTCTCTCTTGAAATTCAAGTGACAGCTTTCACCTGCTTTTTAAACCAATCTAAGAGTTGTTGTGTTTTTTTTTTTTCTTTCTTTTTTCAATAGTGTCACTTCCCATATGCCTGGGATTATCTTCCATTTAGCAGTATGGGAAGGCAGGTGGTTATTGTTTTCAGGCTAGGAACTTAGTCTGGATTATGATTATATTAAATCTAAATGCATATATTAGGCAAATGTTGGCCAAACGTGGTACTGAAGGACTGATATTTTTCCTCCTTGCTAAATCTGAAGTAATCGCTCTTCTGTATTTCATTGCATCCGAATTTGACAAACTTCTGACTTCTGTCCCCACAGTCCTGCAAGACGAGAGAGTTTGTTTCCAGTGGCCAAGTAGTTTGTTTTTCTTGTCCTTCTGATTCCCCGTCACTGAAATTAAATTGATAAAAGTGTAGTACTGATGCATTTTTTTTCTTTAAATAACGTTAAACGCTATGAATGCACATCACTGTCAGTATTTTAAAGGATATCTCTAGAAAAAATATGACTTAAGCCTCAAAGTAAATGCCTCATGTCCTTAAATGGATGGATTCAAAGATATCCTGTTAATTTGAATAGGTTAGTTGTGGTGGTCTG